CAAGAATCCAACACGCTCTCAAAGCGAACATCAGCCATGGAATTTTTGACTCAAAGATCATCGTCCTATTCGACTGAGGTTGATACGATGCGACATAAAATAGGCGATAGATTGGGCTCGGAAAAAGGAAACTCGAACAAAGCTCCACTTGCTCTCGAAGACGAAATCAATATGATGTTTGCGAATAAAGCTTCCAAGGCACCCGTCTATTCAACATCATCGAGATCAGACCTAAAACTTTCGTCTTACTTTGGCACTTCTGTTGAATCAAGACAGAGGGATGTGAAAAGAGAGTTCCAATTTGAAGATATTTCGGCTGCTGACCCGTTTAGTACAAGAACCTTGGCCAGCCGACAGCGTGTTGTAGAACTAGCCACTAATGCGTCTCGTGAAGAAAGTCCGCCTAATGAGATTCACCAGTTGGAAGACGAAAATGCTAACGCGATTAACAGGGGAAGGGCTCGTGCTATAGGGAGATCGAATCTTTACGCAGAGGAGTTTGTTCCCCGTGGTGGTATATTGACTACTCGGCTGCCTGTGTACAAGGATGGTTTGTACTACAGAGGAAGTCCTCCTCGAGATTTGTCGCTTGTGTCCGATGTCAGATCAAGGAGTGCGATGTCTCGAGCTCGCTCTAGAAGCAGGTCTAACCGCAGACAAGAGCTAGTCAGAAACAAATCTCCAATGAGAAGACCAATTTCACCCGATATAAATGTCAAGTATGATAAATACATGGGATCCAGTCCTACTAGGGACTCAGCAATTGGTCGAAGCAAGTTGAGTGACAAAAGCAAAACAACTACTAGAGCAGAAAGTAAATCAAAATCCCGAACAACTCAATGCAGACTCTGTCATTTTGTGTGTCCGGCTGACGGAGGCCATACGTGTAGAATCTGTAAGAAACAGTTTCTGATGGAGACGAAGCTGGCCATCCACATGAGCGCAGCTCACCAACTCAGAGTTCCGATGGATCTGAAGTGTTCCTACTGTCAGCAGAAGTTAGCAGATGTGCGGGCATTGCACAACCACCTGTTGGACCAACACTTGTGTAATGGCGGCGAACACTACCAGTGCAGCTACGGGTGCGACATGCTGTTCAGCAAAGATAACTACAAGCTGCATCTGGAAAATAAACACAGCAGGTATTTTTGTGACCTGTGTGAGAAGGATTTCAGCACAGCGAAGAAGAGTCACAATTGCAAGCCGAAGAAGAAGCCAGGTGTGGATAAGGAGACGCTCAGCAAAATCATGGACGAGGCTGATGGTGTGTTCTCGGATGACGAATTGAAAATAGTGCAGGTGAATGAATCAAAGTCCATGTTTGCAGAAGCTAAAGATGAGATAATAGTGTTAAGTATGGCCCCATGCGATAATGCGCCCAAACTGCACGTTAAAAAGAACAGAATTGGTGTGAATAATGCGGAAGTTACAAGAGCCATGATTCAGAGTGCGAACAAGGATGAGTTCAAAAGAAAGGGACTATTCTATTGCAATAAATGTCCCCTTGTCTATAACCCGACTCTGAAAAACTGCTCTAAGTGTGATCTACTTTTCTTCGATGCCAAATACTTGGCACTTCATGCAATTGAAGCACATGGATGCTCAATGGACATGACCGACATTGGATGTGATTACTGTACCGAGGTGTTTGACAGCTACGAGAAAGTGTTGAACCACAGAGCCTCTCATTTTTGTCAGGAGCATGTGGAGTGTCTTGAAGGCTGTTTGCAATTGATAGTCGGTCGTGATCAACAGTTAAAAATCCACAAAATGGAACAACATGAAGAGCAACAGTCCTCTGCTGGAGTCCTTATTTATCATGGCCATATTTCAAGTGACGCTTCAGCCCCCGAGAGCAAAGATGTTTTGGGATCATCTGCTGATACTATTAAATGTGCAGATTGTCCAATGAGAATTCCCAAGCAATTTGAACTTATCTGCGACAAGTGTTCTCTGGACCAACAACAAACGTTCTACACGCAAGATGAACTTGCCTACCATCTCGAGAAACAACATCGCATTTCGAACAAGGGCGACTTTCATTGCACCCTTTGCAAAGAAAAATCCCAATCGTTCAAAAACGATTTGCCGGGCCTGATTGCGCACAAAAACAAAAAACACCGTGTGTGTAGGAACCACATCAAATGTCCAAGGCGGAACTGTCATACGATCATGAGCAGAGGAAAGCTGGAAACCCACCTGAGAAAAGAATGCGACTTTGTACTAGACGCAGACTATTCAATACGTCCCTGGTTCGTGTACGAGCAAAGCCAGTTGAAAGTGTGTGCTAAATGCGACTTCGGCTTGCATACTATCAAGCTGTACAAGTGCACGGAATGCGATGCGGTTTGCGCAGACAAATACGAGTTTTACGCACACTTGAAACTAGATCACAAAAAAGACGAATTAACACGTGACTTGGAGTACATTTGTCCTCAGTGTCCAGGCACGGCGTCATTCTCGGTGTCACGTTGGCGGCAGCACAGATCGGACAAGCATGGCTATTGTGAGAATCATTTTGCCTGTCCAAACATGGCATGCGACATTTTGGTGGACTCGCTTTCGAGTCTGAAGAAACACCTGAATGCATCGTCCGAATGTAGAAACCATCCAACAATCGAGTCCTCTGAGTTTCTGGGACCCAAAAGCTGTGCTTGCTGCAGTCAAGTGAAAACTGAGACTGTGTCACGCACCTGTGTGCTTTGTGTGAATAAGAATGTGTTGCCTTTCACTGATAATACTGAGTATAGCATGCATCTGACGTATAGACACAATAAACATGTGCAGACTATCGGCACGATTCGTTGCGATACATGCAAGATGAGCTTCTCTAATTTTGGAGATCTGGGAAATCACAGAATCCGAGAACATAAGATATGCAACAAGCACACGTTTTGCAAACGGAACAAACGATGTCAATTTGTTTTTCATTTCAAAGAAGGCAATAAACCTCATGCCTGCTCTGAAAATACGAAGCACACACGCAATTCGAAGTTGGCTAAAAAGTCGAAGTCCGGCTCGAAAGTTTCCGTAAAACTGTCGGAAAAGCATTTCTGGAGATGCACAGACTGTAACTTCATCACCAATCCGCGTCCGTCTGTTTTCTACTGTCGAAAAGACAAATGCGATAAGAAGTTCCTGACTCTTAACGAGCTCTCTGCGCATCAGGTGGCTAAGCACAAAATGACCGTTTCTGGCAACTTCCAGTGTTTGTTGTGCCCTGGTCACCCTGTTTTTGTTGACGCTCCAGACAAGCTCATGGAACATAATTCCAAAACACACGACATGTGCAAGTTCCATAAGAAGTGTCCCAAACCTGGCTGCCACTGGCTCTTTAACTCAGAATATGACATCTCAAGACACATGGAGTGGTGTCTGGGAATCATAAAGACGGCAGAAGAACTGGGATTGAGGACTGACAGGAAAGGTGGTCGCGAAAGATCACCACGGAAAGCTGCGGAAAAGCTCAGTAGATCGTCTCCGAAGAAGGAAAAGAAAGAAGCTGTATTTGACTGCCGGGATCCAGTTCCTGAGGAAGGCGAAGTTGATGAGAGAGTAAACGAGAGGCATGATATGGAGTCCAAAAGCAAAGTTAAGAAGTTGCAAGGATTTTCGCTCCTCAACTGTGCAGATTGCTCCAAAAAGTTCTGGATTGATTCCGTGTTCGAGTGTACTGCGTGTAAAGCTAGTGTGTCGATAGCGGAGAAGCAGTTTCTGAACAAACATGAACTGAGTGCTCATTTAGAACTGAAACACAACGTCACTCTTTCAGCTGCCCAGCAATGTTCAATGTGCAGCGAGAAGTTCCTGCAAGCCGCGGATCTGCTGCAACATGTCAAACAGGTGCACCACTGTTGCGAGATGCATTTTGGGTGTTTCAAGAAGGACTGTCAGCACGTGTTTGGAGATCTAGAGAAGTTGGTTGAGCATCAGAAACAGCAGCACAATTTGAAACTCGCAAAGGAACATGATGCTGGTGGGAGCAATGACAATGTGGAACAACCAGAAGCGCTGATCAAGGGGTCTGATTTGGATTGGGAGGGTAAAATGTGTCTGGAGACGGAAACTATTTCGACTGCGGGAAGTCAACCTGGCTTGTCTTTATGTGCAGATGCGGATGAGTTGATGAGTGTTGGCGAGGGGGGTGGATTGGATATAGAGATCGATGAGTTGACAGTGTTCGCTGGGCAAGATGGAAGCGACGAACGGGACGGGAGGAGCCAAGGAGACATGCTTGAATTAGTATCACAAGAGAGCACATGCTTCGTAGGGGTAGACGACGATGCAATGGAAAACATTCACAAACAGCAGCATGATCCGGAGAATGCCAAACTTGAAGATGAAAAGCTGGAAGATATTAGCAGCCAAGACACCGCAGAAAGAATTAGCCAGGAAGGCATGCAAGCTGCCGATGATACATTGAGTATACATAATGACGATGAACTATAAATTATAAAGAAGACAAAGTATCTTTTCCCGTTCATGGTTTTTACCAGCGAATTCATGACTGAAACTACTGTTAATTGTCTCACATGCTGTTTATCCTTTTTCCATATCTACACACTACCATGTAGCGTAAACAGCTTTTGTTGGCCGAGTAATATTATTTTTCGACGTGATCAATAGACATTCCTAGGCTTGAATTTTAATGTTTTAGGCAACGGAAAAGAAAAAAAGATAATTTGAGCTGACGTTATCTATGCAATGCTTTGCGGTTCAGTTTCTGTATGCATGTTTTGACAAGAAAATTTAACCTCGTCTAAAATTGATGATTATTTGTTGAGATTTGCATTCAAATATAGAGTTCTGTATAGTTGGCGTATCTGTTGTCGTACTATATTAAATACCATAATACATTGCAATTCTCGATATTCGGATGCTTTCCACATACTTTTTTTGCAATTAACCTATCTTCTTATTCCTCTGTTCACAGACTGAGTCACTAATTTGATACAACTTTAAATTAGAAAAAGATTTTACTTTTTTCTTAATTTCAGATGTCTAAATGAATACATCTCACAATTCTGCGTTGCAACGCAATTGCTACTACATTATTTCAAATAAATCTGTATGAAACACTAGCTCCTTTCTCGCTATGAGATGTCGTCGGACCAAAAATCTGACAAGTACCCTCAGAACGGCGTTTTGTTACACCCAAATAATTCGAAACCGTCCAAAGCAATGAAAGAGTTACTGGATAATGGCCACGTTGAAAGCAGCTCAGACCTGAGCTTTAAGTCTTGCCAAGGCGAGATGGACCAAAGCGCTCCTTTTCAAAATGGGTGTATTCCACATTTAGAATCAGTTAAAGGACAAAACAACTCTACAAACGGTGGTAAGTTGTAATTTTTGTGCAGACCACCCCCAACGTTTAGATTTGTTTTTCCCAAATTTTGACTACCTCAAAAGATCGCTGGTGGTCTTTTGAGGTATCTTAAGTGTGGTATCATATTAAAACCATATTAGTCGTGATTCGGAGTAAAAAAAAACTTTAAAAAAAGTTGTTTCAGTGTCAAGAAAAACTGGAATGACCAATTTTTAGACTGAATTACACGGGGACCAAATTACAAGGATTATTTTAAATTTACCTGATTTTAAATTGACTTGAATTTCGAGCTAAAAATGTTTGTCAAAAAAGGTTGGCAGGCTTACAATAGCCTATTTAAGCTTAATTTAAGACATGAAAACTTATTTTTACTGGAGGAAAGTTAGTTTTTGAAATTTTTAAGCGCCATTTTGGGAATCAAAAAAATTCTGCAGAACTTTTGATATTTTTTCTGCGATTCGTTTTTCTGGTCATTTTTCTACAGAAACTGTTTTACAATTGGCCTATTTGACTATGCTTGTCGAAAATACCTTTTTTCGTTTTTTTTTGCAGATCGTGCTATCATATCACACAGAAAAACCTATTTGACTATGCTTGTCGAAAATACCTTTTTTTCGTTTTTTTTGCAGATCGTGCTATCATATCACACAGAAAAATCGGCTTTGCACAGTAACCGGCTATCGTTGTTTTGTTTTATATATTTTTTGATTTTCAATTTTTTCCTCTCAACATTTGAGACAAGAAAAAGTCTTTAAAATTTGTTCACGATCGAATTTGATTTTTCGCGGTTTGGCTTTGCTTTATTTTTAAGTTTGTTAAAAGGAAGTCAAACTCCACAAAACTTTCAAATAGCAAGCAGGAAGTTTACGAAAAGCGTGAATAATTTCTAGTTTCTAAAATTGACTTTATTTTTCTGAATTTCTGAAAAATAACCTACTGATCCAGTTTTCTCTTAATTGGTTAATTTTAAGAAAAGAATTTCCTATGATGCACACTTCTTGAAATTCGTCGATGAGGTTTAAAGTGATTCAAAATATAAAAATTGAAAATTGCTCACACGTTTTCAATCAACTTAACTCGGTTTCCTTGTTTTTCTGCACTTCCAACAATCTGTTGGCTATGTTGTACTATTTCAAAGCTTGTTACAGCTAATGAGTCTCTGCCCTCTACTAACGGCTCGTCAACAGGATCGGACGCTATTTGTTCTAACATGGAACGCCTCATGTTGAACGGGACCTCGCAAACCTCAAGTACATGCAACATATCTTGGCCAGAAAAGAACGCCTTAAAACGAAATAGTGAAAACGAAGTTTCGTCATGGACAGCAGAAAACTCAGAATTAGTCACGGATCAAACGAAATGCCTAAGTAGTATTAAAACAGACTTAAATACGAATAGTAACAGTAGTAGTAGTAGCTGCAGTAACCAAGGTACTAGTACTTCCTCTGCTTGTTTGGATAAAGACGGAGAGAACTTAATAGACCCTCAGGTAGGAGTGGACATAAGTGCCTATGAAGACGAGAGAGACTTGGAGGGTATCATCGCCCTCATCACCAAAGACCTCTCAGAACCCTACTCTATTTACACCTACAGATACTTCATACACAACTGGCCACAGCTTTGTTTCAAGGTACAGTACAGTGTATTCGCCCAGTGAAGCCACGCATAACTGGTTGTAACTTATGGTTCACACCACGTCACTAGAAAACCTGAAGCAAATATGGTGTGCGGTGTTTTTTTTTGAACTATCTCAAGGAAATCTAAGAGGTCAAGTGTTTTATCATATTTACTTTTACGCAAAGCTTGTGTTATAGTATGGTGTGAACTATCTTTTTTTTCCAACCTAAATCGCAAATATTGTTGCGAAGCAAGTATTGTTGCGACATAATGTGTTCATTTTGATCACTAACCATTATCAAGCTATTAAGTACAGCCTATTAAGCATTGGCTGTACTTAAACAAGCTATTAAGTACAGCCAATGCTAACGATATGAAAGCAGACTATTAAATTACAAATAGCACTTTAGCTTCCAGGTTTCAGGCGACCAGCAACAAAATAAGAGGGTTCCAACCTGGACGGTCGGATATTTCAATGAACTTTTTCGTATGCTAGTTAAAATGCGTCCGCTCTAGTTTTCGCATATAAGTTAAAATGCGTGACGCACGCCAATCCGCTCATAATGGGCGTGCGTCACTTTTTGCTTGTGTATGCGAAGTACAACTTCGCCTCTGTGCGTCACTTTGCAATTCTGTAGACTCATAATTGGCGTGCGTCACTTAAGAAGTTTTGTATACTCAAAGTTTTACTCATTCAGTTTTTCTCAGTAGCGTTATCGGTCATATTTTTGCTTGTGTTTGCGAAGTGTAACTTCGCTTCTGTGTAAACTCTTGCTAGTCGTGACTTCGATTTTAAAAAACTAGTCTCTATGTCCAAAATTTTTCGATGACAGACTGAACGTTTTTTTTTTGCTGCGATTTTCACATTTTCTAAAACCGAAATTTCTCTCCGTCTTTTGTTTTTTTTTTGTTTTCAATCGTCCCTCTAAGAACAACAAGAATTTAGCGAAAAAAAACTTTTTTTTTGCCATTTAAGTGTTTTTCTTTTTCTCGAGTTTTCCTTCGATTCATGTCGGTCCTACCACTGGATTCTTGAAAAACTCAAAAAAGTTGTCTCAAGGTCGAGAAAACTAATCTGAAGTTTTCAGAGTCAATGAAATTAAAAAGTCAGGGCAAATTTTTAATGTACAAAAAAAAAGATTTATCGCGGTTTGACCTGTGATTTCTTTTAAGTTTCCTTTCCAGTTCACTTGCTAAGAAAGCAAGTTAATTTCTCTAGTTACGAAGGCAGAAATTGCGCGAAAAAGAAAAAAAATGGCTCTTGTTAAGTTTAATTTAAAATGTTTGCCTAAAGAAAGGAGATTAAGGCTATCCAGCTAAGTGAAAACGGCACGAAGAAACGTGAATGATTTCAATTCAAAAAATAGATTTTAGTTTTGAGATTTCCGAAATATGATAAAAGAAAATAGCTCATGAAGTTTCAATCAATTTTATTCGGTTTTGTAAAATTTCCGACCATCTCTAAGCTATGTTTTGATTTTTTTTTAAAAACAAAATTTGATAAAGGCTGAGAAAAATTTGATTACAGGCTGACATCCAAATTCAAATCTGCTATAATTTGACGTTATAGTAGCTGTTAAATACCACACCTGCGTGCGTTTTTACCTCATTCAAATGCCTTTTCTAGAAAAAAAATCAGGAAAGTTTAAACAAAAATGGAAAAATGTATACTTTCTTTAAAAAATTTTTTGTTCTATCTTAATGATTTTTTCTTCAATCAGTGTGGTTGGAACACTTTTGGAACCGGCTATCTTTGTTGCTTAGATACATTCCAGTCCAAGAATTTGTCAAAAAATAAATATAAAGTAAATTGTCAAACTATCAAAATTTGAGGTACTGAAAATATATGATGTGATAATGCTTTGCGAGTCATAATTGAAGAAAATGAAACATTTGTGTGCGTGAGATTTGACAACACCGTATACAGACAAATGGGACTATTTTTTTGTTTCGTCTCCAGGCTAGACTGCGTAGTGGTGCTGGTGGTGTATTTGTGGGTGCAATAGTGTGCAAGTTGGATCTGCACCGGATGGCGAGGAGGGGCTACATTGCGATGCTCGCAGTCCACTCCCACTACAGAAGACACAAGATAGGCAGGACTCTCGTCACTCACGCCATCTCGGCCATGATTGCCGAGGGATGCGACGAAGTAGGTCTCATGTACTAATAAGGGTGGGGTGCTGCGGCACAGCTCCGCCAGCTTCTAGCAAAAAATTCGATCAATTGGAAGATTTTTGGCTCGCAAGGAAAGTTATAGCTGTTTTGGGTGGTTCAGAGGTATTACAGGTTACAGCAGGCTAACCGGAGTTAGAGGCACGTAATTTTGACTCACAAAGTGTTGGTTCTAATTCATGAGGCGGCTCAAGCACCTTTCTAAGTTGACTCACAGCAATTCTGACGACTAGCTGTATTTGCATACGATCTAAAATGTGTATTGTAGGTTGTGTTAGAGACAGAAGTGACTAACAAGGCAGCCATGCGACTGTACGAGCAATTCGGATTCATCAGGGACAAGCGACTCCACAGGTATTACCTCAATGGAGTTGACGCCTTCAGACTCAAACTGTGGATTACGTGACCCCGCACACCACTCTCTCACAGCACCCATCCCTATCTGCAACCACAACTAACCCCCGCCCACGGGCAAGCATCGAAGGATGAGTTGATTGATACCACACTCCGGGCGAGTTGCGTAGAACGAAATTGATTACTCACTCGAAGATTTGCTCAACGTTGTTTTAAATCTAGGTACCGTAGTCAACACTTGCTTTTTTATAATCTACAAAGATTGAAGAATAGTAATACATTTAACTATTATTATGCAAGACTCGTATTAGCTCTACAGGATTTACAAAAGGTATCTATTGACTACGCTGATTTCTTTGCATTTCAAATGTTTATTAATCAGTTTGAGTAAAAAAAAAAAACTAGTTAAAGCCGTTTTTTAGTCTTTCAGAAATGATTACCCTCGCATTTAGCAGGGATATTGTAATCGGCTTTTTTACCTGAACAACTTTGCTAAAAGAAAGGAGAGTTTGTTAACGAGCTCTTGTTGATGCTATGTAGGTAAGCGTGTTTAATGTGTTCGGACAGATGTCTTGCATCTCGAATTTTGTGGAAAAAAAATGTTTTTTTTTAATACTTATTGGGTGCCATCTTTAATCCGGTCGGCTTTTTTTAAAGTACTATGTTTTTACACAAGCAAAGCTTGTGTTATAATATGAACTTTTTTTCCAACCTAAGTCGCAAATATTGTTGCGATGCAATGGTTGCGACAAAATGTGTTCAATTTAATCCAGCTATTAAGTACAGCCAATGGTAAGGATATTAACACAGACTATTATATTGCAAATAGCACTTTAGCTTTGAGGCATCATAGATCTCTAGGGTAGAGGTAGGGAAGAAGACCAGCAGCAAAATAAGAGGGTTCAAACCTGGGCAGGGTCGGATGTGTCAAGAACTTTTGTATACTAGTTTAAATACGTCCGCTCTATAAATTGAGGCATGTTATTTGGTAATTTTTTTTTCAAATTAACTGATTCTGCTAATGCATCACAATTGGCTTGCGTCACTTAGCAATTTTGTAGACTTATAATTGGCGTGCGTCACTTATGAAATTTTGTAGACTCAAAGTTTTACTCATTCAGTTTTTTTCCCAGTAGCGTTCTCGGTCATATTTTTGCTTGTGTATGCGCAGTGCAACTTCGCCTAGGTGTTAAATTAGCTTACGACTGTGTTTAGTTTCCGCTTTTTTTCGTTTCGGACATTAAGTTCCTCTAGTTCTGAATGTAGATGCCTTAAAGCAATAAAATTTGATACATGGAAAGCTGTAAAAATTTCCGATAAACAAACATTCCGTTCCGTCAATTTCTTTAAAAGTCGAAACAATGAGTTGCCAAAATTTCTGCGCGACAGAAATAACAATAGCAATTCTTTAATTTTAAACACATTTCGCCTGCAAATTCAAAACTCTGATAAATTCTGTTTCAAACATTAGCTTTTGCATGACAAAATTCTGTTGCAAGCATCAGCTTTTCCATGCCGGAAAATTCTGCATTTCAGATAATTTTGTCTATCCAATTGTTTTGCATAGCGGTAAATTTGTTGTCTAGAGTTAATTACGCTTGCAGTTAGCAAACGTCGTCAAGTCGGAGTAAAGACTTTTTTTAAGGGTAAACAACTTGCTTAACAGAATCACTTGGTATTTTGGTTCATAATGAATTCAAACTTCTATGCGTTCGCGGCCAGCTTAGCCTGGAGGTGCCGAATATGCCTGAGGAGAAAAAGATCCGGGTTTCAATCTGATCAGCGTCTGTTTTTTTTTTTTTTTCAAACGGAAAATATTCGATTTCAGATAAATTTCCCGGCGAATTATTTGTCTGCTTATCTGTTGTCGGCTTAGTTATCACATCTTGGAATTGCTGCTTTTTTTCACTGCGAGCATTTTGCTTTATTGTTGTTTTTAGTGGTTGATTTACTACCACAAAAAAAATAATTTTATCTACCTTGACTTTGTATTTCCTTTGTTTTTTCGCTGAAAAAAAAATCCCGTTGTTTCGCTAAAAAATCCTCGTCACAAATTATTTCGGCCTTTTTTTAACTGCTTAAATACCTAGTTTGGGTAGTTAGAAGAGAAGCGCTTTTTTAACATTGCCCTCCGCACTTTTCAAGTTAGTATGTTTACAATCGGTTTTTTTGAAATAATTTTTGTTATGGAAAATTATTTCCAAGTTTTTTGGAAACACTTCTACTGTTTTCAAAAACTGTTTCTACTGTTTTCAAAGTATATCAATTGAAAGATCGGCTACTCCCCTGTGTGCCTGAATACTCACTACAGTCTTTTTTACTTGACCCTTCTGTCTCCAGCCTTCGAAAAAATCTATGGGGTATTATTTGACCCATATTTTTGATTTTTTTTTCGTTTTCTCGAAGACTACGCATCACAAAATCTGAGTTTTTGTTTTCAATGAATAGAACCGTTTTGAAAAGATCCCTGCATAAGCGGATACGCTCAAATTTTTTTAAACAAACTTATGGCCCTCGGAATAGTCAAATTTTTGAGTTTTGACCTTTTTGTTATTTAACCTCTCAGATCTGATATTGTAGGTTCAATGGAGACAATGGGTTGTGAGAACCTCCCCTGCATAAGCGGCCGCTCACAAAGGTTTTAAACACAAAAATTTATCGCCCCTGGAAAAGTAAATTTTTAATTTTTTGACCGTTATTTGAACTTTTGAATATTCTCGGAAACTACCCTATTGAATATGAGATAAAGGGTTCAATCGAAGGAACCGGTTGCATGAAATTGTCCTACAGAAGCGCCAACTCCTTATTTGGTTGTAAAAGTTTTTCATGCATAAGGGAAGATAGCATTTTCTCAAAATTTTCGCTCTTCTCGCTTATTAGAAACTACCAAGGTTTTGGACAGTCTTATTTTTGAAATCACCCATTTCATCCCGCATCAGGATAACTATTTCCAAAAAAATCAGTTTGCTACCTCCAATTTCAGCAGAGCCCAATAGTTCTCTTTTATCGAAATATACGAACATTTTGGTTCGCCTAGTTTTATTTTCACTCTTCGCACTTACTTTACTAGAGAAAGAACTAAGATTTTTTTTTGGCAAAGTTAAATTTTTGCAATAACCTATTCATCCCGCATCAGTATAACAAAGTTCCTAGAACACCAAACAGCTACCTCTCATTTTAGGCTGGCCTCTAGTTATCCGTGTATTCATTTTGAGACCTTGAAATTTCCTTTGAGTTGAAACCGAGTTCTAAAAATTGCTTCAAAACACAAAAAGGGAACAAAGCAAAACAATTGCTTTTTTCAGATACATTTATTTTAGAACAATTTGAAGGTCGCTGTTTCAATTGATAAAGTTATGCCACAGATTTTTTTCAGCATTTTTTGGGCAGAAAAGGAAAACGCTATATTTCATAACTGTTTTGAGAAATCAGTAGTGCATTTTTTCAGATTGTGTTGTGTTAGTTGCCTCTTATTGAGTCACAGTAATAATGGTGCGTCTCAAATTCAAAAAGGAGAACGAAGGCCTCTTCATCATGGACACTACTCTGGACAAGGAGGTCAAGGTCATCATAGACTATATAGTGAAAGTGCAGAATGGGCGCCTCAAAATTGAACGCCTCTGCTACGGTGAGAACGAACAGGTTTACTTATCTCTGTTTCCAGCAAACTACGGGCTACTGTTAGAAGTTTTAACTCACCAGTTGGCTCTCCCTGTCATTTTATTAAGTGTCAATGGGGAAGTGCAGAAATTTATTTTTTTTACAGGAAAAAGTCTGAAATTCGAGTTCAAATGTGGTTTTTCGCGGTTTGACTGGGTTTTTGGTTTTCAAGTTTAAGGCAGGAAAATAATGCTCTTCAGTAACAAAAGTGCAAATAGAGCAAAGAAAATTGAAGGATTTCAGTTTGTAAAATGGATTTCGTCAGGAAGCCAAATTATGTGTTTCCGAATTGTAAGCGGATTTCCTTTCAATGCTATACTAGTTGTTTTTGTGAAATCTTAAACAAAGCTATGTTTCTTGATGTTTTTGCTATTGGGAGTACCGGTGAACGAATTGGAGTCATATTTAGGCCCTGTAATTATTTTTGTTTTCCAGAAATTATCCTAAATTTTTTTCACACAAATTTTGTTTTTTCGCGGCTCCGTAATTGATTTTTTTTTAAGTCCAGCTCATTTCTTTTGCTGAAAAGAGCGAAAACTTCATTTTTGAACAGCATACGTGTAAAGGTCATGATAAACGATTGATTTCTATTTATAAACTTGGACTTAAGTTTTTTGAATTACGAGCTGAATAAAATGTTTTATGTAAATGGGATAACTTTTTTTTAAAAATGACAATCATGAACAATTTTTTACGCTTGTGATTAGCAAGTGTTATCGAACTGGAATATAGACTTTTTTCTAGTTAACAACTAGTTTAAGAAAATCTGTTGAATCACTTGCTGATTATGCTGCTGACTGACATGCTCAATTTCTTGAAAATGCAAATTTAAAACAACTGATTTTGCTTGTGCTGTAGACAATTTTCATTGTAGTTGCAAATGATGCAAGTGTTTATTCATTCTAATTTCGGGGGGGGGGGGGCTTTTTTCGGTTCAGCTGGTGTCTGCTCAAAGATTGTCGGATTACTTGCCTTATCATTGATTTTTTTGCCGCAAGCAACGTTCATTGAGGTTGCAAGAGCAAGTGTTCTTCATTCTAATTTTGAGGGGGTTGAAAGATTTTTAAAAATCATTTTTGTTTAAATTGGTTTCAGCTCAAAGGCTGTTGTCTTAGTTGCCACATCACTGATTTTTTTGTGCTGTTAACAACTTTCATCGTTCAACTGCAAGTGTTTTCCATTGTTGTTTAAGGTGTTACTTAAAACTTTTTCTTTTATAAAATCATATTTTTTTGGCTCGATTTGTGTCTGCGCAAGGATTGTAGGCTTTTTTCTTTTCGTAATTTTGTTGCTGATTTAAATTTCAAGTCATGTTTGCCTGAAATGAACTTTATCGAGACATATGAAAGCTTATATGACTTAAGTTTTTTTTCAAAAAATTTCTTTTTCGGTTTGTGTTTTTATGTTTGTGTCGTATTGCAGGTGGTGCGAAGCTCCGCTTCACCTCTGTTGAAAACTCAACAAGCTTTAACGTGATATAATAATTTATATGTGTCAAGTAGCGTAATTTAGACACTAATATAGGTTGTGATGATTTTTTTGGGAAAAGTTTTCTCAAATTGGGTTCTAGTTTTCAAAAATGTTTCAATCATAAACTGTTTTTTGAAATTCGAAAATTGAAATTTTTAAGTACAACTTTTTAAGTATATTTTCTGTTTTTTTTCCGATCATTGCCACTTTTTAACTGTTGGCTTTTTCTTTGGTTTTTTTAAATTTTTTTTAATCAATTTTTTTTTCGGTTATTGAACTTTTGTACATGTTTCCAATCGGTTGGCTCCGTTTTTGACGTACTTGGATTAATTATAAACGGTTTAGCCATATTTGATGAGTTTAAATGTAACATTTTTCTTATTCCGAAACTTCTTGTGATTGAATAGTGTGGAAAATGTTTAGAAGGGTCAGAATTCTTGTGAAACATGTTTTGAATAAATTTTTTGTGTATTAGGAATAAGGCTTCGTCGGGGCATTGAACTCAAGGTCAATTTTATTTTACGTTGTGCAAAGTAAATTTTAGTTTCTAGCTTTAATTTTACAATGAACCACTAGATCATCCTGTTGAAACACTATAAAAAAGCAAAAAACGTTTTCTGTTAAAAAACGCTGTTTCATGGTTCCAACCATTGAAAATGGGGACGAAGTTTTTTCTTTTCCAGACAATCAGGTACCACAATTAATCATCGGACCAGATTGAGTGATATATCATTTTAAAGCCTTCTCACCGGGGTTGACAAAAAATGCTTATCATACAATTTTCATATATGAAAAAAAATGCTTATCATACTTTTTCATACAGTTTCATAGAGTAAAAGTGTATCTATGAAAATAGTAAAATAAGCATTTTTTTTCATATATGAAATTGTATGATAAGCATTTTTTCCATACTATGAAATTGTATGATAAGCATTTTTTCCATAAATGAAAATTCAAAAAATTAAACCGAAACACTAACCAAGGATTTTTTGTCATGAGAAAACTCAGAGTGTTATTGGCAGTTAACACGCAGATAAACTGCATTTGGTGGTTTTAGCCATAAAAGTCAATTTTAACATTTTCAAGTGGAAATATATACCAAAAAAGTAACTTTTTGAATATGACTAAATAATTTTTAGCTTGAAAATTATGATGGTTGAGAAAAAAGGCCTGTTTTTTTTACAAATTTATTTTCATCTTAGCAAATGAAACGAAATATATTAATCGTGTTTACAAAAAAAACATTTTCATGTAATTTTTGGGTTTTTTTGGGTGAGAAACTCATCCTGGACTACGTTATTAACACAAAAATGTCAAATTTTGCATGCAAATTTTTTTTCGTAAAATTTATATTTTAGCACAAATGCAAATTTGCAGCCAAAAAAAGGATTTTTATTTTTGTGTATGAAAAAAGCATATCATACAATTTTCATATATGAAAACTTTATAAGCATTTTTCTGACCGAAATTAAATTTATGTTTTTGATTTTATATTCTCTATCATAGATATACTTATTTAAATCTATTTAAAGTTACCCAGACACGTTTTTTGGTGATTTTTGAAAATTTTATTTTTTTTCTATGACGAAATGATTATTTTATAATTTTCATCATGATAATTGTATGACTTGGCGTTTGCCAGGACAGAAATTTCACTTAAAGTACTGTACTTTAAGTGAAATTTCTGAAATTTTATAATTGAGCTAAAATAAGCAATTTGAACGTCTTAAATTTAAAGTTTAAATAAGCCTTCTCGCTCGCTTTACTATAGACTTCGCTTTACTATAGATAAGCATTTTTTCCATAGACTTCATATATGAACTGTATGATAAGCATTTTTCTTCTATGGACGTCAGCCCGGGCAGTCGTGTCGAGAAAAACTGGTTTGAAATTTTTTGATTTTGAGCAAGTGAAGCGAGCGAGAAGGCTTATTTAAGCTTAATTTAAGACGTTCAAATTGCTTATTTTAGCTCAATTATAGTTTTACTAAAGTAAAGGTAGTTTTTGGAGTTTTTTATTTTTCTAGTTATTTTTTCTTCAAAAATTGTTGCTCAATTTGCCTGTTTTACTATGATTGTCGAATATGCCTAAGCTTTCGTTTTTTTTATTCAGATCCATTTATCACACCACGCAGAAAAAAAACACTGATTTGAGAAAAAATGTGTTTTTTAAGACTGGTCGGAACGTTCTGTGCTACTTGCACAGTAACCGGCTATCCTTCTTTGATTTTATGTTCGTTATTTTCTCTACTTGTAGTCAAATTGGACGTGTAGCCAAAAATTGACTTTGCTTTGCAAGTCATAACGTATAATTCTAGTGTCTGTGTGTGTGTGTAGAGATTGGTGAGTTGGGCAAGCATGGTATCTCTCTGCCGCCCAACATGCAGGGACTGACGGAGGAGCAGGTGGTGGAGTTGAAGTTGAAGGACGAGTGGCAGGCCAAATGTATTCCCTCTGGGGGAGTCACTCAGCGCAAGGACGACATCGGACGCAGGAGTGGACAAGGTCAGTGTCTATATTCACTTCCATCATTCATTCCATTCAATCAAGTGGAGGGAAGAATATTACGAACCCATTGTTGCTTTCGGTCCTTCAGAAAAATTCAGTTGTCCATGTTCAAATTTCAAATGACCCCCGAATTCGGTTTAAATTGCAATTATTTCACGGGAATCTAGAAGTTCTTGTCATTCTTTTGAGGTTCTCCAAATTTATGCTTGCTGTTAGTCCAAATAGCAGCAAGCGGTTGCGAGTACTTTCACATGTTTCGGTTGTTTCATTTGGAAGGCTTGACGATTGCAGCTAGCTCTTCTTCAAGATCAAATATGCTTCTACAATTTGAAAATTGGAAAATGGGTTTATTTTGAGAATTCTTAGTGGAGTAAGCAATCTATTTAAAAATCTGGTATTCTCAGATCGGGTTAGTTTCACTCGAAAATTCAACGTATCAATCGTATAAATAAACCTTGTGTATTATAAACCGGTACTAGGTTTTTCTTACATGTATCTCAGTAAAACTGAGGCAATTTGATTTAACTTTTTTTCTGAGCATCTAAAGCTCAAGTAACCAACTGTTAAAACAAAAAGTTCGGGTCTGGCCTTTTTAATTAGGCAAATTGAAAATTTTTAATTTGAAAGTTTGTCCTTGTGGTTAATTGTATGTCCGTATATTTTTGCCCGCTCAAAATATCACGGACTTTTTTTAACCGTCAAGTGTTTTTATTAAGTGTTATCTGCGATAAGCTAGCGATATCAAACGGAACTTTTTTTCTGTTCAACTTGTTGAACAGAACTGCTAAAGCCTTAAGAATTATTCGAGGGTAAATCTGCTAAGTACACTTAAGAGATATTTTGTACTTTTTTTCCACTAGAAGAATCCGTTTTGTTCTGATTGAATTGTTCTTATGTGTTTTTATTAGTAATAACCAGAAGGTCAAATGTATCATAGTAACTGAGTCATGAGCCCCTTCATCACATACTCTAGTCAAAATCTTAGGAATTTTCTAGATATGGAAGTGATAAGGATAAAAAGGAATTGGGTACAGTTCTTTGCCTTTCGGTTTTTCTGGACTAAAAGATCTTGACCTAACTATTATGGTGCGCTATCCCATGTATATCGTTTAAAAAGTGTATTTGTATATTTTCTTCACGTGTGATTCGGCTTCTAACTTGGTTTTCGCTTCAAAAGTTAGCTCTCCCCGTGTACCACCCCGAGAATTACAAAATTTTGACGTTTTTATAATTGGTTTTTATTTAAAAATATGTTTTGAGATTTCATTTGAGTCAAAGTTACTCTAGGGGCTGCAAATTGGGCCTCCAGATATGATTGCTCACATCTTTTTAGTCTAGAAGATATGAAGATTTTAGTGATTTTTTTGAAACGCATTTAAATAATTCCACAAATTTTAAATTTTCAACCCTGTAATTGGGTGCTCTCAAGGTACTCTCAGGGGTGGCGAATTTTGTCTCAAAAGCTGACTGCTCAAATCGTTTTAGTTTGCGAGATATCACGTTTTTTTTTATTAATTTTCAAAAAATATGCAAAGAAATTATATATAAAAACTTGACGAAAATTCGAAAGTCGCAACTTTATGGTTTCAGTTACTGTCAGGGTACTTTCAGCCTTTGTAGAGTGTGCTTCCAAGTATGACTGCTCAAATCGTTTCCGTTACCGAGATATGACGTTTTTTTATGATTTAAAAAAAGTTTCTAAGAAATTATATTTTAACTTAACAAAAGTTGAAATTCACAGCCCTGTTGTTAGATGTTGTCGGGGTTCTCTCAGGAGTTCCAAATCTTGCCTCAAAATATAAATGCTCTATTTTTTTTGTTTCAGAGACATGACGTTTTTTTAAGAATTTTTTCAAAAATGTTTAATTAACTTAGATATAAAAAACTTAAAACAAAAATTGAGATTATCAACTCTGAGGTGTGAGGTGCTGTCAAGGTACTATCAGGCGGTGCAAATCTTGCATCCAAATCTGACTGCTCAAATCTTTGACGCTGATGTTCTGAGATTTCAATGACTTTTTCAGACCTTTTCAAAACTTAGAACCAAAAAATACCGCAAAATTTGAAACCGCCAACCCTGTAGTCAGGTGCTGTTGAGTTATTCTCAAGGGTTGCAATTTTTTCTTCCAAAGGTGGCTGCTCAAATGCTGTTTGACATGACGTTTTTTCAAAAAATAAACTTGAATTAAGAAACAACGTTCAAAAATTTGAAATTTCCAACCCTACAGTGGGGTGTTCACTGGGTAATCTCAGAGGTTGCAGATCTTTCCTCCAAATTTGACTGCTGAAATCATCTAAGTTTCTGACAACTGCCGTTTTTTTATGTTTTTTCAATATGTTCCTAAACATTATGATCTAAAATAATTTCTAAGTTCGAAACGCTCAACACCTTGGCTTTCAAGGTACTCTCAGGATGTTTGTCTGGATTCCAATGGTGACATCTCGACGCCTTTTGTTTTCTTAAATGTGGCGATCATATCTTATGAAAATTTTCAAAATTTTTTATATTGTAATTAAATGCTTTTCAAGTTTTGAATTTGTCGACCATTTATTGGGTTGATATCGGGTTACTACCAGCGGATGCATAGGAGGCCTCTCATCATAATACTATTGATAGAAATTTTCATCGAACTTAAAATTAAATTAAGAAAAATGAGTCTGATATTTAAAAATTAATTACGCTGGATTGTAAATTCTATTTGAATTGGATTAGATGCTTTTGCAATTGAAATTGTTTCATTTTCTTAAATCTGGAAAGTGCAGTTGTATGCTGTCAGCTGTATTATAGATCTGAAAAAAATATGCAAAGAAATTATATAAAAACTTGACGAAAATTGGAAAGTCGCAACTTTATGGTTTGAGTTACTGTCAGGGTACTTTCAGCAGCTGTAGAGTGTGCTTCCAAGTATGACTGCTCAAATAGTTTCCGTTACCGAGATATGACGTTTTTTATGATTTAAAAAAAAACTTCTAAGAAATTATATTTTAACGTAACAAAAGTTGAAATTCACAGCCCTGTTGTTAGATGTTGTCGGGGTTCTCTCAGGAGTTCCAAATCTTGCCTCAAAATATGAATGCTCTTTTTTTTGTTTCAGAGACATGACGTTTTTTAAAAAATTTTTTCAAAAATGTTCAATTAACTTAGATATTAAAAACTTAAAATAAAAATTGAAGTTATCAACTCCGAGGTGTGAGGTGCTGTCAAGGTACTATCAGGCGGTGCAAATCTTGCATCCAAATCTGACTGCTCCAATCTTTGACGCTGATGTTCTGAAATTTCAATGACTTTTTCAGACCTTTCCAAAACTTAGAACCAAAAAATACCGCAAAATTTGAAACCGCCAACCCTGTAGTCAGGTTCTGTTGAGTCATTCTCAAGGGTTGCAAATTTTTCTTCCAAAGGTGGCTGCTCAAATGCTGTTTGACATGACGTTTTTTCAAAAAATAAACTTGAATTAAGAATAAACGTTCAAAAATTTAAAATTTCCAACCCTACAGTGGGGTGTTCTCTGGGTAATCTCAGAGGTTGCAGATCTTTCCTCCAAATTTGACTGCTGAAATCATCTAAGTTTCTGACAACCACCGTTTTTTTAATGTTTTTTCAATATGTTCCTAAACATTATGATCTAATATAATTTCTAAGTTCGAAACACTCAACACCATGGCTTTCAAGGTACTCTCAGGATGTTTGTCTGGATTCCAATGGTGACATCTCGACGCCTTTTGTTTTCTTAATTGTGGCGATCATATCTTATGAAAATTTTCAAAATTTTTTATATTGTAATTAAATGCTTTTCAAATTTTGAATTTGTCGACCATTTATTGGGTTGATATCGGGTTACTACCAGCGGATGCATAGGAGGCCTCTCATCATAATACTATTGATAGAAATTTTCATCGAACTTAAAATTAAATTAAGAAAAATGAGTCTGATATTTAAAAATTAATTACGCTGGATTGTAAATTCTATTTGAATTGGATTAGATGCTTTTGCAATTGAAATTGTTTCATTTTCTTAAATGTGGAAAGTGCAGTTGTATGCTGTCAGCTGTATTATAGATCTGAAAAAAATATGCAAAGAAATTATATAAAAACTTGACGAAAATTGGAAAGTCGCAACTTTATGGTTTGAGTTACTGTCAGGGTACTTTCAGCCGTTGTAGAGTGTGCTTCCAAGTATGACTGCTCAAATCGTTTCCGTTACCGAGATATGACGTTTTTTATGATTTAAAAAAAAACTTCTAAGAAATTATATTTTAACATAACAAAAGTTGAAATTCACAGCCCTGTTGTTAGATGTTGTCGGGGTTCTCTCAGGAGTTCCAAATCTTGCCTCAAAATATGAATGCTCTATTTTTTGTTTGTTTCAGAGACATGACGTTTTATTAAGATTTTTTTCAAAAATGTTCAATTAACTTAGATATAAAAAACTTAAAATAAAAATTGAAGTTATCAACTTTGAGGTGTGAGGTGCTGTCAAGGTACTATCAGGCGGTGCAAATCTTGCATCCAAATCTGACTGCTCAAATCTTTGACGCTGATGTTCTGAGATTTCAATGACTTTTTCAGACCTTTTCAAAACTTAGAACCAAAAAATACCGCAAAATTTGAAACCGCCAACCCTGTAGTCAGGTGCTGTCGAGTTGTTCTCAAGGTTTGCAAATTTTTCTTCCAAAGGTGGCTTTCAAATGCTGTTTGACATGACGTTTTTTCAAAAAATAAACTTGAATTAAGAATAAACGTTCAAAAATTTGAAATTTCCAACCCTAGAGTGGGGTGTTCTCTGGGTAATCTCAGAGGTTGCAGATCTTTCCTCCAAATTTGACTGCTGAAATCATCTAAGTTTCTGACAACTGTCGTTTTTTTATGTTTTTTCAATATGTTCCTAAACATTATGATCTAAAATAATTTTTAAGTTCGAAACACTCAACACCGTGGCTTTCAAGGTACTCTCAGGATGTTTGTCTGGATTCCAATGGTGACATCTCGACGCCTTT